ATTGGCTTTTCGAACGTTTAACGATGTGATAATTATACTGTTCGGGCGAACGAGCCACAATATGCTAGGCAGTAATACATTTACCAATATGGCAATATGTATGCTCCAATTATTATAATATTATTATTATCGCATACGGACTTGGTATATTATACAGACATGGTTACCGGCTAAGCATAATGTGCATAATATTATGTACGGCAAATAGTCATTCATGGTAATATATTAAAATATGTACCTATATTATCATCACGGCAATAGGCGATGTATATAAATGCGAACATTATAGAATATTAAATTAGGTATGCGCACGAAATAATATTACCATGTACTTACCTGAACCTGATATTATGTGTGGTACACGCGCGACCGACGGACTGTGACATAATAATATCATCGTTATTATTATTACTATTATTATAGGTATAGGCGAGCGGTGTACTATGATATTATCATATCGACGTCTGCGTCTTAAATAATACGTTCGAGACTTTTATACAAACGAGCCTCGATGTGGTATAATAGTATAATATTATATCATATTATTAAACTGCAGTTGTACAAGACGTGTGCAACGAGCGATTTTATATCAATGCATTATTATTATAATATTATAGATTATTATTTTTGTTCACACGCTGTGGCGCACGACCGCTGTTCTATAATATCAATATAATAATATTTATATTATATTATACACCTATATGGCTATATACACGCGACTCGTGCCCGACGCACGCATAAATTATTCAAGGGCGTCGATTCAGCAAAATAATTATAATATTGTATCGTTATTAATAATTGATTAGTCTTATATAATTGCGTAACTCTGATATATATATATATAGTATAATATATGGTATGTCATAATATTATATTACAGTATAATAATAATTGTGATGAATTCAGGGTTCGTATAAGTTCATGCATTTCCATATCAATCTATGTCGCATTCGATGCTATAGGTAACAATATTGCACAAATAAATTCATTTCAAGGTGATTCGATGAATGACAAATTCTTTTATTTTGCATTCAATTAAATACTATAATGTGCGGGTTTTGGCATATTTTGTCAAAAATAATGCATGCATTTATTTATCTAAAGATCATTAAAAATTAAATTGTTTAAAGTTTTCATTAAGTAATCGACAATTTTTTTAATATTTATAAAATCAAAAAGAAAATAATAATAAAGATTGGACATACTAGGATAACTTTTCGGTTCTTCATGTCCAAAGATAAATCCCTTGCTTGCTTGTTTATGGCACACAGATCACAGTAAAGCACATCATAACAGATTTCCATCTTTACGAACAAATTTTAATCTGACCGAAACTCCTGAAGAAATCTTGAACCCTGATCAAAACACAAAATTGCTCAGATTTTTAAAATTAACTAACCTTTAAAATAAAATATAATTGTAATTGTTAAGCTAATTAATCATTGTTTAAGCTTAATACAAATTATAAATAGTATTAAAGACCTTTAACTAATGGCCCTTGCTGCCGAGTTATATTAATAGATCAATATAAAAAAAAATATATAAATTTGTTTGATAACATTAAAAATAAGTATATGTTCAAATGGTAATATTTATTCAAAACATGTACAGCCAAAAATAATGTGAGTATCTTAAATCAAACATATACTATGTTATAGAAGCTGCAGATGGCGCAATATATAAATACATTATAATAAGAGCATATAGTGAAAATAAATAACAATTAAGTGTCTTAAATTAATTTTTTTTATATGAATTATTAAAATACACATAAATACACATATATATTTTAACTTTATAAAACAACAATTTTCTAACAAAATTAATGTGATGTCACCTTACAATAAGAAATGTACAATTAAATATAATTTATTATTATATAACTTATATAAGTTAGTAGTTACCGTATTTTCTAAAATTATATCAGTTAAAAATTATATTAGGATTCTGTCATATGGATTAATCAGTTTCTACTTGCATCATTTGTATTCGATCCTGTATTATATAGGTCATAAAAACATTTGCAGTAATATTGTAATAACCCGATTAAAATTAATTTTTCAACTTTTACCGAATGCACAGTTTTTCAGAAAGACCTCACTTCACTCACTGCTGCAGAAATCAGGCTTTGTTTGTAACATAATGTACTAACAGAAGTTCATAATATATATTATTATGCAGACATAAAGTGCATAAATGCATAATTTGTACCACGATAACGTAAATCGATGGTTGCATTTTCCGGATTCGGATGGGCTTCGGACTCATAACATTATGTATGATCATAGTCTATTAATATACTATATCATATACCTTCTACCATAAGCGGCATGAGATGACTAATTGTTCACTTCAGACGGGCATGATCGTTAGTTAATAAATGTTTTTATCGTGTTTGAATGCGTTATGGTCGCACTATAACTCTGAAATTTTATAAATAAGTTTACAATTGAATGGTTGTACATATATTATATACATGGTGTCACATTTTAATATTTGATTACTTTAAATGTCTACAGACTAACAGAGTACCATGAACGGCATATAACGAGGTATAATATACTTATTACGATCTATTATTATGACGTGTTTTTATTTTTCTTCTTGTTATTTACACGTTCGACTGTATGAGTTGAAAAAAACCCACGTTCGATATTCACCTTAATTATAATATGCGTGCGTTACAATTTGATATAATAGTATTGATGTATTCAAGGGTATAGTGGACTCAAAACAGTCCTAGGAGACCTGGGCTGCAAATACGAGACAGCCAGGGTGGTCGGACCAAGACGAAGTAATACAAATAATGTATAAATTTGTTTGTAAATTGTGAAGGTTAAGTCTGGGTAGAAAATAATGTTCACCCTTGTAAAGCTTGAATTTGTGTATATTTACTCTCCGCTAATATACGCATAGATATGATTTAAAATCTGGAGAGGGGGGAGATATAGAAATATCAATGAACACGTAAAGTCGTGAATAATATTATACAATAATATAATATATTATACTGGCACAAGGTTAAGTGAGGAAATACTTAGGTTCTAAGCTCCCCTAAGCCTCTCAATTTACACCTATGCTCTAAGGAAATCAGAGTGAATGTCTTCACTGCAGAGGGCAATGCTTGTGCACATACCTAAATGTATTGTATTTTGTTGCAATAAACGATGCTGCGTAAGGGGAAGTAATGCTAACGTGATTTTACTCATGTGGAGCAGTGGCGATTCAATATGAAAAAAAGGTATTGGGTTTTTTAAAAAATTGAAAAAATTTGGTTTGAATGTGGCTAGGTTGCTTAACATATCTGTGCTCAATCGTGTTTTAAAGAATGTAAAAAAAAATTCTTGGCCCTGAAATATTATTATTGTTATATAGCAGCTATATTATAATATATTACTAGAGTCATCAGAGCTAAATAAATGGTTTTGAAGGCAATAATTTTCGTCGATCGTATACAATAAATGTATAAGTATTAAATTTGTAATATTACCCACTCAAATTAAATACTTAATGTACAATTTCGAGGAAATAAAAATTTAATTTAACAAATACTGTCAATTCAGCAAAAGAAAAAAGATGAATTCAAAGTCTACTCACTCAATTATACTGTCTTACATCATATATTTTTTTTTTGGAAATTATAACTATACAATGATAAACGAAATTATACAAACATTGCTTTACATCTTGTTTTGTATCAATTTAAAACTCAAATCATACGTTTTTTCTGTTAAAAAAATGTTTCTTACTATCATATTTTACATTTAATATTGTGCTGTACTTTCAATATTTCATAATTGGGATTTTCGGTGTACGAGTGCATATTTTAGGGCATATAAATCCCGAGCCAATGATGACTCATCTGTCCCGCCAAAATCACAATAAAACGACTACGACGACAACAACAACAAAAACAACAATACAGAAAAGTGCGCGTTTAACGACGAAAATATTTACCTATATGATCTTATTTACGTGCACGGATAATATTATAATGTTATACGTGCGTACGTAAGATGCAAAAAATAACCCTATGCACGCTTACATGCAACGTCGATGCGCACATATAATAAAATACTATAAAAATATATGATTATAATGTTCGTCGATAAAACGCATCTTCGGACGATGCGCCGTAGAGCTTTGGCGTGTGTAATCGGCGTACGCCAGACAAAGGCATCGAAAAACAATAATAATAATAATAATATATTACGCAGGAATGAAAACCGATAACAATATTATTATTTATTGCATTAACAACGTACATGACGTGCAAAATATATTCCATCCGAGAGAGTTGAGATCGGGTGTTGCCTTTGTTCTCTGACACGATACTAGTAGATTTATTGGTACAACATATCTACCTATAACGATACATACGTATCCACTGATCGATTTTCTTTTAATATTTTTCTCTTAATTGGAAGACAGATAAGAGGGTGCCAAGGGGGACTGGTTCGTGTCTACCTAAACTTATTGCGCTGATGAACTTAGCGTATCCCTTTGTAGTTTTTTTCTTTAAATGGACGGTACTCGGTATTATCATCATTAGGCACCTACCTATGTACAATGTTCGCTTGTTTGCGATAGCTGCCTTTAACACTTTTAAGGTGTGTGTGAGGGAGTCAGAAGTGCTGGAGCACTCTTAATGCTATATATTTTACAGACGAGTCAAAACGCTGTGTACACACATTATCATATCATAGAATATATTACATCGCATGCAAATTATAACGAAAGGGAAACACAATAACGTGTAGTAGAATAATGTATATAAGATTTTCAGATACATTTTTTCGGGGCGGTTCTTAAACCTATAGCCGTTATAATAGTAATGTGCGTATATGCCATACGGGGAACGACAATGGATAAACACACGCACACACACACACACACACACACACACACACACAACACACACACATGGTACGTTGTATTCTTCGCACACGGGACGAGGAGGCGGCGGCGGCGGGTCTATATAATAAGTATATATAAGGTGGCTGCGGACGAGATCAGGACCGCATTCCGATCCGGGACCCGACGACGACGGCTACCTTGTGAGTTTTGGCCGCGCTCTCCGAGAAACGACGCACCTGGAAGAACGAGTCTCTGCGCTCCCACGTTCGACGTATAACATCGCCGCATACCAGCCGCCGTGTATACATTGTATACTATAGCCGTCAGAGACCATCGGTTGAAATCGTCGCCGCCGCAGTCATGTGCCGAGCATCGTACCGTCAGCATCCGAAAATGGGTCCGATGCCGAAAAACCGCAACAACAATTCCTACGCCAACCGTCTCAACGACTTGAAACAAGTACGTACCTATGGCTAAATAATATTACAATGATAATATGTTGACCTGCGTATAGTAATGGTAACATGATGTATTATATCTTGTGAACGAGGGCGCTCGACGAATAATATGTCTTATAGCCACAATAACAGTGGAGTCGCCTGCAATCGTGTCCCCTATATGTATAATTATAATGTTTTATTTTTGATTTTAATCAATTTTTTCCATTCTATAGGCGTTGAAACCGTACAGGGACAACAATGCCAACTGTCTGCGGCTGATCACCAGGTCGGCCAGGGTGAACCTGAACAAGCACTGGAAGAGCCTGGAGAATCTGTTCACGGCCGGGCACGATCGCCGTGCACCAGACGTCAAGGAACGCGCCCAAAACGCGGCCAACGAGATGCTGGAGAACGGCGAGAACGAAAGACCACCACCGGCGGCCTGCTCCAACCCGACGGCGGACGCGGTCGAAAAATTGCGACACTTGCACATGGACGACTGTTGACGACCCTCGACGACCGCGCACTTGGTTTGACGATGGCGGGTGGGGGGAGGGGAAATCGTAAATCGTCCACCGCACATATATACATTTATATCGTAGGTAATGGTATACACAACATTGTAATGTTCATAATATTATGTGTACCACCTGTGCCCCATGTCTTTCGTTGTTTTTTTCAATATCGTTGTATTTTATTTTATATTTTATTTTACTTAACACTCGCACCATCACGTTATATTTATACATGCACCATTTCACGCACCGTTTTTTGCACTGGTTTTAAATCACATAATCGCACCAACACGCACCACATGCACACTAATATTATACGCACTCAATCACATAAACAGCACTATAAATCATTAAACATAATATTTTATGTGCACTATACTACTAACATATTATATCACATTATTACACTCGTTATATTCATGCACCACTATTAACACTTCTCACATTATTAGATTTTAAGGAAATATATTATTTATTAAACATTTTATCGTCCGAAAAGGACACTGCACCACACCGCAGGATGGTCCGGATCGATATTAATGTATATACTACTGCACTTTAGACTATTATGTACATACAATGATATTTTATTAGTTTTAAGTTTGTCGGCCAATATATATAAATATTGGCGACATCAGCTCAAAAGTCTTCCAAAAATCTGAATTTTTATTCCTAATTCGCACGTCTTACGACGTCGATTAGAAGAAATTAGAATTTAGAATATTAGAATGTTAATTTGTAAATACGTACCAAATCTGTGATTGTATGGAATTAAGGTTTTATTTTTGTATTTCACTTGCTACTATTATAATTATTACTATCATATTATTATGAAAGTCTCACTCATTATTATATAAATTACATAATTATCGAGCCATGAAAAAGTTTAGATTATTAAACTACCGATGATGTATTTTTTAAACATTTTTTTTGTTGTTATTTATATTGTTAAAAGAATATTTGCTCAAAAAGGAACAGAGTCCATCCATATATTTAGTTTTTAAGCAAAATGTATTTTAAGAGAAAGCTTGGTGGCCACTGTCACCGAAACTAATGTAAGATCAATAAATAAAAACTATTTAGATATATTGTAAAGAATTATGACAAATGAGTTTTGTGACAATATCTCTTATATTTCTACGTGTCTTGCATTATAATGTACATTATGAATTTATATACAAGAATTGTTTTAATTTTTAATTCTGCGTTTTATATTTATCATGATATTTTAGAATCATTTATGTTCAAATGTTTCTATTTTTTTTTTTATGACAAAAATAAAGTATTCTAAAAAATATGGTTCATTTGTTCTACTGTTAACGGCATATTATTATGGCGTGTCTATAAAATCATCATGTTCCCTATTTGGTATTGACTATAATATAAAATATATACTCAGATGGCTTTATACAATGGGGTCAAGAGTCAAAGTACCTATGTTAGAATAAGATTATGGTCATCTGCAAGGGTACATAAAAAAAATTCGAATTGAATTGATTACCTGTCTCAAAAGTCAAAACTAAACAATATGAAAACTAACAACAATTAAAATGTGTTGACCGCCTTGAAAACATTAATCACGTAGATTATTATGTTGTTTCGTAGTTCTTCGATTTAATGATAGATTAAAATATATCGTTGTGTTGTGACTATGGCTATTTAGTATTAACCCTCATCTAGTATCGTTGGGCAAGAATGTATACAATATATAGAATATTTTATTTCTATTAAAAAGGTTAAGACGGTTGATAACTAAATGTCACAGCGTATTCTTTCTTCAACATCAACCATTATTACAGCGTAACAAAAATAAAAGGAAACATATATTATTAATGCGTAGTATCACGAGATAAAAATTCTTCGGGACTGCTTTATGTTGTTGATTATTATAAAACATACGTCGATTGAATTTGGTGCATTTATGATTTACACAAAAACATTTATATATACATATACATTCTTTTCCTCTAATATATAAATAAAACAATACTAAACATAGAATCAAAAGTGACATTTACGTAGGTTGAGTGTAACTGGTACTTCTTATTTGTGTGTGATTATACGAATACTATTGTATTTGTCTTAAAGTTGTTATAAAAACGTAATTTAAAAAAAAAACCAGTAGAAGTCGTCTAGTGGTCAGCTGTATGGTACGTGTAGAGAGTGCACACTCGAGACAGTCACTAAAATTTAAATTAAATGATAATTCATTGTTGCAATCTAAAGCGATTCTGAGCAAAAGCGGTCTGACAGGCTATATATTCTTCTATGAGGATGGATATTTAATAATAAATAAACAGTATGTTAATTCATTGGGATGTCAGTAGCTCTAATTCAAACTATAATACAGATAATTTACTGAAGTTTTTTTGAAGTGATTTCTTCATAGGCGACGGAGGACCTTTATTAACACATTTGACGTTTAGCGTTAAGCGTAAATTAAATAAATAAGTAGTACCCATATTTTTATTTACACTGCATATATTATATATACGTTCATTATTATACATCTGTGTAAAATATTTTGATTCCAATTCGAGTTATTAATTAATTTAAGTATTCACTTCGGTTATGCGTACTGATACACATGCTTGTTTTTTAATGTAAATTGTAATATAGAAATAACTAGCCTTTTACCCTGGTCTAAAAAAAAAATATTGAAAATGCCCATTTTGCAAATTTATGAAAAAACCAATGTTGAAAACGGTTGAATTTTGAATGAATGAAAGCAACTTATATTTTCGAAAACACAGCATAATGCTATACAATTACAGTAAAATTGTATGATGGTCTTAAGTTTTTCGCAATAAAATAAGTAATGCCAGTCTATAGTAGTATTTCTTTTTTGTTTTATAATTTTGTTCAAAGTATTATTCACCATGAACTGCACAACTGCGCAAGTCAGTATTATAGGCCAGTAATTTGTGTAACAAAATTATGGAGCTGTATACCTTGTTATTGAAAAATGTGCAAAATATTTCCAGTGACACGTTAATATAGTGTCACTCCAATAAAATGTACTTCTACATAGCAGTTTATGATGCATACATTTTGAAAATTCGCGGTCCAGCGGGGTGAAACGACTCAGGTACAACAATAATTAAAAATAGTTAAACGTGCAAGCTTAATAATTATATTTATTTCCAAACACATACATTAGACATCATAGTATTAGGTACAACATTATAAAAACTGATGATTGTAACAATATCGAAAACTCTAATTTATGTCGTGTTTAATGATGTGTTGAATATCTGATTCAATATTTATATTTTATATACGATAATAATATAAGAGAGAACAATAATATTTTGCATCATATATTTTATTTAAAACTGGGTCATCGATGAATGCCAACAAAATATCGAACTCCCGTTGGGCGCCGTTATCACAACTCAAAACAATAATAATCAAAAAAATGTGAACTTGTAAAACTTGTGTGTGTTGTTTTTTTTCGGAATCGTTTGAAAAAATATTCAAACCATCCCCGGACAATTAATCGCGAGCTCAGCGCATAATATCAATAATATTATGATTTTATGTATACAATCGTTTAATGAAAACCCGATAGAGATATTTTAGATTTGTTACTGTATATTAGTAAATGCACACACGTCATTTTTATAATACATTTTTTTTCAACAGCTATAACGGCCGTCTGATTTATGTACAATATTTTAACATTAACACGATCGATTCGTTATGAGTCGTTTTTCCCCACACTTAACTCGTCTCGTTGTTAATTCGAGAGCAAGAACAACAGGAAAAGTGCCAATGTTATTTTTTTTTAAATTAATTCATAATATATTATATCGTAAATATTGCGAGTAAAAAAAAAACGGTGACGTTGTGTTTGCCCCGGTGGTCAGTTATGTTGTCATGTTTGTATAGTGTTATTACTTATTTGTTTTATTGAATGACAAAATATTATATTATTATAACTTAGTGTTATGTATTTTTTTAAATCGAATAATGCTACGAAAAAAAAACGCCAACTCAGATACACGAAAACTCGTGTTTTGCGTTCGTGGTACATATTTTGTGAAGCGGTATAACAATAATAATAATAACACAATAGTATACGAGATTATAAATTACATTACTATGCCAAATACGATTGATAATATAATACGATCAACTGTTATTCGATTCGAAAAGCATTGAAACGATTCAATTATCGTTGGCGAACAATAAGCATCGATACATGCGATTGAATGAACGGGTATTTTATAATATATTATAATTTATAACAAATAACAATATTATAACAATATACAATAGGTTTTGGGAAAATAACAAATCTGAAGAAAATTGCTGTCGAATTACATAAATATTCAAAGAACCAATAGTGAACTCGGTAATAATAATAATAATATGGTATTGTACACATTATTTATTGGCTAATGAAGGTCTATTAAATCATACTGAATCATTAAATAAATACATTTTTTACGCACCCCTAAATATTAGGTCTAGCGTCATAGTTAATATTTGTAGGTATATATTATTTATGTCTAGCCTATCGACCATGATTGATTGATCTTAAACATCGCGCTTAAAGTAAAAAAAAATATTAGAAAATTATTAAAAACCCATTATACGAGGGTGATTGTAAAACATATCGTTGCCTCGTTATAGCTAACTTATAGGTCACTCCTTAACTTAATTAATTAAAAATAAAGTCCTCTTGACTAACATACTTTTTAGATATGCTATTGGATAGTATAGTAATTATTGGTGATTTCTATATATATTTCTGGTAACTAGAATGATTGAATATTAAAATATGTAGGTAGGTATACATTTTTGAACAAAATTGCTCACGTATAGGTAGAGTACATTCAAAAAAAGACATAGTATAACCATAATTTGAGTGTATGTAAAAAGTAGGCCGCCTGAGTAAGTCTTTTAAGTATGGTTTAGAGTATGGCCTAAAGTATGGTGTATGATTTAAAAAAATATATGGTAATAAATTATTACTTCGCCTACATAGTGTCTAATATTTCGTATTGTATTTAAATAGCATTTTTCAACATAATTTTTACGCAATGTAGACTCGTCTAGGATTTGAAATTTTATATTTTTTTCCAAAAAAAATTCTAAAATGTGTGTTATTTGATTTAGCAAGTGGAATATTAGCTGCTAATAATGTTTCACAAAGCTCTAAATTAAATGACGATTGATCACTATTATTTGTTAAATTAGGTAATAGTACTTGTGTATTTTGTTTCACTTCATTCTGTTTTCGTTGAATTCCACGAGCGTGCTTATGTCGACTGATGTGTTGTTGAATTATAAATTTCTTGTCGGAGGCAACTGCAACATTACAAACTTTACAAAAAAGCACCATACCCGTAGAAAAAATATCGGCGTTGGTGTCATCCGCTCGCTCACAAAACTACGTAAACTGCTTCCTACTGTTAACTTAATTTTTGGCATTTTGTACACTTAAGATCGGTAGAACCACATAGGTGCGAGTCGAATTCACTACTAAAGCTATTTGTATACCTAAATAGTTATGGGTTCGTCCGATATTTAATCTTATCGGATAAATCGACAATTAATTATATAACTATTTCAATATCAATGGACTGGAGTAGGTAATTGCCTATAGGCACTAATTGGGATTACCTTTACAGTTTACAACACATATTAAAAAAAGCTTAAAATAAACAAAAATTACTATAATTATACTCAAAATGAACGTAATATTTGTAATGTACTAATATTACTTAAAATTGACCTTAAAAATGCAATAAAAATTACATAATTTAAATTGTTATATTACGAAATAAATTTAGTTTTTGTATAGAATTTTATAACAATTAGAGAAAAAAAATGCAAAATTCACCAAAATCCTAGCTTTAGTAATTACCTACAAAATAATAAATCAGGTACCGATCATCATACACAAATATGAAAATATAAATAATATAATATGTATCTAAATGTTTATAATTTAAATAGGTAATTATCAGGTATCTGTAAGACTTACACTTAGAACAATACAATTGTATAATATTTTTAAAACTTATTGTAAATAGTATCTATCGATTACATAAATTTAAAAACCATTTGTAATTTTTGTTCGAGAAGTGTACGTACCCCTAACCTTCATGATTCCGTTAAGCTTACAATCCAAAATTTGGAGAACCAATGAATTTGTTTGTTTAGAATCATAATCTTAGCTCAGAATCATT